ATGATATAATATTTTGACATATTGGCTAAGAAATTTGTACTTTAATTTATATTGTATCTATATCTAACTTCTTGTACATCTCTCTGGCTTACAAACTATAATACATAATAGGATGACTAATTTAATCATTACTATTGACTCATTACTATTACTATTAACACCTCACTAACTCAAGCTATTTGCTTGACCAATTTAAAGGAGAAAAGTTCAATCTAGAGAAAATATTTAATGTTGACCACCTTGTGTTATCTAACAGGTTTTTAAAAACAAATCCTTCTTGGTCTTGCTAAGGTATTTTACATTACTTTACAACCCTTTCTTGATTGACATCCTCTCAGTTAACATGATGCCACACTATCTTAGTATATCTCCTTCCTTTTGGACCAGTCTTTTATCAACTCCTCTTTAGGCTCACCTTCTTCCTTCAACTTCTCAATTTATATAAATAGGTGTCTTAGTCCATTTGGGCTATTATAACAAAAATAACATAAACTAGGTGGCTTCTAAACAACAGAAACTTATTTCTCACAATTCTGGAGGCTAGGAAGTCCAAAATCAAGGTGGTCAGATTCAGAGTCTAGTGAGGGCATGCTTCCTGCTTCCTAGATGGCTTTCATCACATTGCACCCTCACATGGAAGAGACAAGGGAGTTATCTGGGGTTTTTTTTAAAAGGGCACTAATCCCATTCATACAAGCTTTATCCTCAAGACCTAATATCCTCACAGAGGTGACACTTCTTAATACCACCACATTGAGGGTTGATTTCAACATGTGAATTTGTGGGGGACACAAAAATCCAGTCTATAGATAAGGCGTTCTCCAGTTCTTCTGTTCTTTCTTTTTTTCATGTTCCCCTCCAAGATCTCATCTTGCAATGTGAAATTTAACAAATAGCCTAACATTTCTGTGCCTCAGCTTCTTCATATGCAAAATAAAGGCAATAACTTTTCTATCCTATAGGGTTGTTAAAAGCTTTTAATTAGCTAACACATATAAAGCACTTTAAACTGTTCCTGGCCCTTAGAAAGAGTATGAATGATTTCCAAATCTACATCTCCATCTCTTCTGGAGATTATTCCAATCTTCAACCTACCATACAATTTTTTATTGGACACAATCTCATAAAATATCCTATTTCATTTGCACTCAACTAATTGAATACAGCCTTTCCCTCAAATCCAGCTCTTTATCCCAGAGTTTTCTATTTCTATTAATGGCTTCATCATTAACTAGATATCTGAATTAAAAGTCTCAGTCAACGGCTACATTTTATGTACTCTCTGATGGAAGTCTTATCAATTCTTCCTAATTTCTCTTTCATCAGTTACCTTTTTATAATGCACATTGTTACTATGGTAGCTCAGATCCTTTTCTTTTCACTACTTGATTACAATACAACAATACCTTCTAACAAAGCTTTCTTTCTATACTCTCTCCCACCCTACTCCTAGTTCATTATAATCATTATTAAAGTAATCTCCTGAAGAGTAGTTTCATAAAATCACATTTATACTCAACATTCTTCAATATATGTCTGCCATCTGGTTCCAAAACACTTCAAAATCTGTCCTCTGCCCTTGACAATTTTAACTCTCTGAATTTATAACTTGTATTGCCATTACTCTTGTAATTATACAATTGTTTTACTTTATGAATCTCATATTAGTATTTAAAATATATGGAGTCATATTTTAGTTTGTCCCTACATATTTATAAGATTTTTGTGGACAATTATAAAATATTATAATTTTTTCTCCTATAGTGTATCATTTTATATTATGCACAATAAACATTAGCTTACTTCATTTTATATTATCACTTGTGTGTTTACAAACTAAAGTTAGTTTAATAATCAAATAATCAAAATTGGTAACTATACCTCTACTCTTGATATTGTAAAAAAGAACATCATACATAACAAACTGTGTTGTGGTAAGACATAATTAATCATTGTGGTCACTAACATTTGTGTTCATATCCATTCAAGAGCAGATACTAGACCCTTTTAGAGTCTATTTTCAGTCCACTCTTATTGGTGATCAGAAACTGCCTTTTGCTCTCTACTCTAAACTCTTCAGTGATATAGTTAGGCTTGTCTCTACAGCAGACTGAGCCCTTTCTATATTCTAAATAAGTGATTCTCAACTGGGACAATTTTGCCCCTCAGGGGACATTTTGAAAAATCTGGAGATATTTTTGGTTGTTACAACTGAGAAGGAAGTGTTAGGGTATCGAGTGGAGTCGAGTTCAAGGATACTGTCATACATTCTACTCTACCTAGGATATCCCCACAACAAAAAATTATCCAGTCAAAAATGTCAATAGTGCCAAGGCTGAGAAACCCTTGTCTAAACCCATCAATCCTAAGAGTTAGTCCCTTCCTTATTCCTAAACCATTATAAGTCCCTTTCCCTCCTCAAATTCAGCTGCTTTGCCATCTACCTGTTGGCTTAGTTGTGCCCTAATTATTAAATCAATCTCATCTTTAGCTAGGACTGATACAATGCTGACTTGATGCATTGATGTGAGTTTTTATTTTTAAAATCAAGGCTCTTCTAACATCATTTTGACAAATGGTTCCATATTTTGTCCTGTATTCTTCGATACTCCAGTAACTCACAGGCTAGAACTTACATTATTCCTGCTGGTTATTTTCCTAAGAAAGTCTTGCTCCCTAATATCCCATGACTGGTTTTTGTATTAGCCATCAAACTTCCCTTACCTTTGCCTGCTTTGGATATTCCAGTTTCTTTCTCCACCTATTTATATGGTTGCCTGCCTAACTCAGGGGTTGATACTGTCATTACACTAAAAAAATCCTTTCGAAGTAAGCATTCATCATAAAAATCCTGTTAGCTGTACTCTTGGGAATAATTCTCTTACACATTTGTAACATGAAGTGTTACAAGTTCTCTTTAGCCCAAAATTCATGGCAAATTTGATGAGAATAATTAATTGTAGCATGTTATTAACATCTTAGCTTCCTTCTACTTTTTTAATCCTCACCCGAGGATATGTTTATTGATTTTAGAGAGAGAAGAACAAGAGAGAGAAACATTGATGTGAGAGTAAAACATCGACTGTTTACCTCTTGTAAGTGCCCTGACTGGGAATAAACCCCAACCTAGGTCTGTGACCTCACGTGGAATGGAACCCAAAAACTTTCTGTGCACAGGACCACGTTCCAGCCAACTGAGCCACACTGACCTGGACTTAGATTCTTTCTTAAATGATGCCAAAGAAAGTAAATGCAACACTTAGAAAATGTAGATTGGTTTCCATTCATCATCTGACATTTTCTGGATCAGCGTTTCAGTTTTTAAAAATAATAACAAATAATTGCTTTGGTATTTCAATTCAATGTAATTAAAGGGCATTTTAGAAAAAGAAATGGGAAGCATAAGTAAAAAAAAAAAAAATGACAAAAACAACAACAGCAAAGGGTTTAGCAAAAAGAGCTAAACATTTTTCAAGATCTCAGAAAAAATGATTCTATATAGATTTTCTTTGAATTCAAGCACATACAATTTTGTTTGAAAGTCACAAATAACTCGTTTAAATCAGTTTACTATTTTAGTTGCTGTGACTGCCCCGCAGTGGTATAGCTAAACATAAAAGAATAAGACTTTCAGTCCATACAGACAAAGGGGAATTCTTATGATTTTCTTCACCATGCCATATTAATAATTAATATTTACAGGCCAAAGCAAGCATACTCCAAAATCACATTTCTTTAGAGAGCTCTTATTAAAGAGATAAAGCATCTTCCCTTAAATGTTGTTATATTTTCCATTTCTAAACAGTAGTTTAGATTAAATGAAATGGAAGCACACAAAGTAGATAAGTGAGGCTGATTCAGAGAACAAGCCAGTCATTGAACCTCAGGAATAAGACATTATTTTTAAACAGGAATTCATGAATGGCAAAAGTTTCAGAGCAAGCATGTTACATGCCCAAGTGAATGAATTTGTTATTTTAAACCCTGCCTGAGTCCATCCAGCTTAAGTGCAATATTTTATGTTTTGTCACTCCTATTTCAGGGTGTATTATAATTTAAGTATAGTGACTCCTGATCACAATATGACAGGACTACTATTGCCTTTAACGTTTTGTTTATTTAAAAATATATATCTTTGTCCAGTAATAGCATATATGAAGCTTTTGTTTTCATCCATTTCATTAGAGATTATAGCCTTAGGTGAGAAATTATTTTTTTCTTTAACTTACTTTAAGTTATAAAAGTCAGCAAACTACTGCTAAACCTGTACTTTATTTTAATCTAAAGAAATAAACAAACTGTTCATTAGTTTTTAGTCACAAGAGTTCATATTTCAGTTCATATAGTAGTAGCATTTTCTCAGGAAATTTAAAATATCTAAACCTGACAAAATATAACTACAATAAAGTACACTAAAAAAGCAAACAAATTCTTCTTATAAGATTTCATTGTAACACTATGCTTTTTTATTAGGTTTCGTTTGATTTCTGGTTTTGCATCCAAAATGATGCAAAGAGTCAACCCAAACTTTTAGTTAACATTCCAATTAGCACAGTTAACTGGAACTCTTCTTACAAGTTGAAATACTGTGTCACTTCGAGTGGAAAAAGTGGAAAACCTGGGTTTTGAATGCACAAAAGGGACTAAAATACAAAGTATAAGCTGTTTATAGATTTTTAAGTTCATAGTAAAGTGTCAAAATTGCATTTTTATTATGATTGAAAATATTTCAACAATGTCTTCTCAGCTATATTTCTGTTTTATTTTTCTTTCTTTTATGTTTTAGAAGCATCTGTGTGATGAATCACAATGGTTCTTCTTGCCCTTACTTCAGAGGGGTTATTTAGTTTGCAAGGTTAAATATCAAATCTTACTCCCTCTGGTTACTCTAAGCACACTGCATTGCCCAACCAAAGCCCTAATGAATTATTACCTGTTTCTGACAAACAGGATGCTAGTTCTAAGAAGCATTTAATGACATTCATAATTAAAAGTCTTACCTAAAAATCTGTTTATGGAAGAATTAGCCTCATTAATGGGTTTGCCACAAAGTCACTGTTAATGATGTTCCCTGGAAGAGATTAGAGGTGAAAAAGGAAGTGAATTTGAAAAGGAAAACAAGCATGAGCACAAACAACTCTCTAACTTTGATTCAGTTTTTTCAGGTCAGTAGTTGCACTGACAATTGTCACAATTGCCCCTGAAAGCAAAGGTACCTGGAATGAGAGTAAAAAAGAAAAGCATATTATTGTTCACCCCTAAGAATTTCCTCTGCTTTTTGGAAGAGCTAGGCATAAAGCTATAGAGGAAGCTGCCACGAGGTCATAGCACATCTTTATATATTTTTAAAAGCATCTGCCAGTCACAGAAACAATCTGGTGGCGTAGGTAACAGCTGCACCCGCGGCCTGCCGCAACCACATCAAAATCAAAACTAAAATACAGAACCACCATCACTTGGAACCCACTGAAATCTGGCTGAACAGAAGCCCCACAACCAGGGAACTGAAGGAGCACCGAGACCAGTAAGAGGGGCGGAGATGTGGGCGGATCGGGGCTGAATCTCAGAGACATGGCTGCTGGCCCACACCTGGTGCCACGGGGTAAACCCGAGAGGAAATCTCGTTGGTGGAGGTTTCCCGGAGGAGGGAGGGGTCCCAGGCCCACAGCAGGCCCCCAGCCCAGGGCTTCAGAGCTGGGAAGAGACGTCCCCACAACTCCGGGCTGTGAAAACCAGCAGAGACTGTAGCTGAGGGTTGCAGAGGCTGCGGGAGCCCCAGCAGCTCTTCTTAAAGGGCCCGCATACGGACTCAGATGCGCTCCCTCTGAGCCCCAGCACAGGGCAACAGCTTGAAAGGACCTGGGACACTTGAGGAGGAACTAACTTACCCGAAATTGGGGCAAGAGCTGGAAGCGCAGCTTTCTCCCAGGCAGAAGAGCTGGCAGAGGCCATTGCTCCTTTGGCAAGCCCTCTCCCCACACAGCTGGCAGGCAGGCACCATATTTGAATTGCCAGCACCTGCCTCACACCTTTGGCCCCGCCCAGGTGATTCCTGGAGGTCCCGCCTCTCCCCACCTGCTAGCTCATCCAGGCCATTTCCAGTGGCTATTCTATGCAAGTGGCCTCTTGAGCCTCATGCTTAGGACTTTCCTAAAATCTCTCAAACAAGCAGCAGCGTGCCCCATACAGCTTGATAAGTGTCCCCAGGCCTGGCACTAGTGGCAGCCTGCATTGGCTCATAGCTTGGCTTCTCCTGGACACCACCAAGCCGAGCACAAGTAGCAGCCAACTACAGTTTGGTGTGTTGCTCATGCTGGGTGGCCCTGGGCAAGTCACTGGCAGAGGCTGACTTTGCACCTCCAGGGAGCCCCAGAGACAGTGCACCTGGTGGTCAGACTTGACCATGCTGGATTACAACCCTACCACATCCACAAGTGACACACTCAAGGGGCACACTTGGAGAATACCAAAGTTCCACTGAAGTAAATCTTGCTCCATAGGGGTGTCTCCAGCACAGCTCTTAGGCTGTAGCTGCAGCTGGTCCTCATAGCTGATTGGCCTGGAGGTCAATTCCTCCCAGTGATGCCAAGAGCAACCAAGGCTCAACTACAACAGGTCAGAGCACACAGTCCACACAGGGGAGCACCTAGAAGGCCCAGCTCAGGTGACTGGGGAGGCTGAGCCACTGGACCCTACAGGACACCTACTACACAAAGCCACTCTACAAATTCCAGGACACATAGCAGCTCTACCTAATACATACGAACAAACACCATGAAGCAGTCAAAATGTGGAGGGAAAGAAACATGTCACAAAGGAAAGAACAGAAGCAATCTCCAGAAAAGGAACTAAATGAAATAGAACCAAGCAAGCTACAGATACAGAGTTCAGAATTATGGTTATAAGGATGCTCAAGGATATTAGTAAGAGTACTAAGAAAACAAGTGAGACCATCGATGACATAATAAAGTACCAATTTGAAATGAAGGCTACAAGAACTGAAATGAAGCATAATTTACAGGGAATCAACAGTAGAGTAGAGGACTCTGAGAATCAAATCAAAAATTTGGAATACGAGGAAACAAAAATCAGCCAGCCAGAAGAGCAAAAAGAAAAAAGAATCCAGAATTATGAAGATAGTATAAGGAGTCTCTGGGACAACTTCAAGAGGCCCAACATTCATATTATTGGGGTGCCAGAAGGAGAAGAAAGACAGAAAGAAATTGAAAACTTATTTCAAAAAATAATTACAGAAAACTTCCCCTACCTGGGGAAAGAAATAGACTTACAAGTCCAGGAAGCACAGAGGGTCCCAAACAAGAGGGACCCAAAGAGGCCCACAGCAAGACACATCATAATTAAAATGCCAAAGGTTACACAAAGAAAGAATCTTAAAAGCAGCAAGAGAAAAGCAATGAGTTACCTACAAGGGAGCACCCATACGACTGTCAGATGATTTCTCAACAGAAACCTTGCAGGCCAGAAGGGAGTGGCAAGAAATATTCAAAGTGTTGAAAAACAAAAACCTACAACCAAGAATACTCTACCCAGCAAAGCTATCATTTAGAACTGAAGATCAGAAAAGAGCTTCACAGATAAGAGAAAGCTAAAAGAGTTCATCACCACCAGACCAGCACTAAAGGAAATGTTGAAGGGTCTTCTTTAAGAAGAAGCTAATGAACAAAAGAATCTGATGAACTAGATAGATCCAGAGACACTGACACGTGCAACAGGCGATTATATTTCAGAGGAAAGAGGGAAGGGGGGTGGGGGGTGGGAAGAGATTAACCAAAGAAGTTATGTGCATATATGCATAACCCATGGATACAGTCAATAACAGAGTAAAGGCCTGGGAGGGGGGAGCAAGGTGGAGGGAGTCAATTGGGGGGAAAAACGGGGCACCTGTAATACTTTCAACAATAAAAATAAATTAAAAAAATAAATAATAGCATCTGCATTGTTTTTCTATTGCTATCATATCAAATTATCACAATCTTAGAGGATTTAAAAAACACCCATTTTTATCTCATAGTTCTATAGGTCAGAAGTCCAAGTGGACTTGACTGGGTTCTCTGCTTGGGGTGTCACAGGGTTGAAATCAAAGTGTTGGTAAATCTCTGCTCCTTTAGTGTACATTTTGGGAAAGAATCTACTTTGAAGCTCATTCAGCTTGTGGATCGAATCCAGTTCCCTATGGTTGTAGGACTGTGGTTTCACTTCCCTTGCTGACTGTTATCCACATTCCTTCTCACATGATCTCATCCATGTTCAAAGGTTGCAAAGGCACATTGAATCCCAGGTGTTCTTAGGATCTCTCACTTCCTCTCTTCTGTGATCACCAGGAAAAAACTGTCTACTTTTAAAGGGGTCACGTAATTAAGTCAGGCCCACTTAGATAATATCTGTATTTTATGGTCAACTGACCTGGGACATTAATTACATCTGCACAGGCCATGATAGTACCTAGATAAATGTTTGATTGAAGAACTAGGGCATGGAGATCTTGAGCATGTCCGAGGGTGGGAAGAATCTTTAAAATTTGGCCTGCCACAGGACCCCTTCCCCTAAGAGGAAAGACTTCCAAGGTTCACAGCTTCAATTTAAGCCCCCACTTGTAAATTCCTTGTGCTGTGAACAATTGCACAACCATACATAGCAGTCTTAAGTTATATCTTCTAGGGGTCAAGAGTCCTTGCACTAACCCTTTGGCTTCTTTTTCTCCTTAGAACCTTTCCTGCCTTGCCCAGCCCTCTTTATTGAAAATATTGTATCTTCAGAACATATCTCCTTCTCACCTTCTCCTAAACCTTAATAACTGTTATCCTCTGTTTGAAATTTTTAATGTGTATTTAATAATAATTTGTACATTATTGATGATCTAGAATACATCTTTATGACTAATTTATTTCTACCTTTGGAGGTGTGTTTTTCTCCAGCGGACTGTGTCCTTCAATAATTTATTTTAATTTCAACTAAATGAAAAGCCATAAGCCTATGAAAGTAGTTTATATGTGTCTTCTTTATTTTTTACTGGCAAAAATGTAGTTGTTAATTTCCCATATAGACAATGGTCAATTGAGTATATAATGGTGCTGATGATGTTATTACCTGAGATATACTAAATCACATTTTATTATTCAAGTGTATTTGTGAAAGAAGTTCTACCATTAAGAAAGCATATGAGGTAACACAATAATAAAAATGGAGTTTATACAGAAAAATAACTATGAAAAAATGCTTTTAATACATCTAATAAATATTTAGGAGAAAAAAACAGTCATTTAAATAATCACAACTCTTAAGTCTGAATTGTCTTGGAACCAAAAAGAACTTTATTTACATTTTGAGGGTGTTAAACTTCTAGTGGATTGAAACCTCATTCACAAAACATGGAAATTGAACAAGATGAACTATCAAGCAAAATAGAGACAGACTCATAAAGAGCAGGTAGACAGCTCTGGTGAGGGGCGGGGGTGTTGGGGGGGGTAGGTGGAGGGATTGAGCAAAAAAGATAAAAAAAATAGAACTCATGTACATGGACAAAAGTGTGGTGATTGCATCGGGGGGGGGTGGAAATGTAAGAGGGCATAGAGGGGATAAATGGTGATGGAAAAAATAAAATAAAGAAAACTTGGAGATTGAACCTCTCTACTCAATAGAAAAGTGGATATGAACTTCTTCACCTGCAAGCTGTCACAGTAATTAACCAAGAAAACGACTATTTCCATACAAATGTTAGATAACCATAATCCCCCCTAAAAAATGAACATTCTATTATTCCTTAGGGTCACTGCAAATCATAAAAGGGTTTATCACACCCACCTTAGAGGGTAAGTCTACCATAGCAAGGTCTTTGGCATTCAAAGACAGAGGAGCTAGATGATTAAAAACAAGGCTGCTGGAACTCTGGCAGGAATGTATATTTTCACTATTTAGCATATGTTTACAAACTAAGATGCAATGTAACTTGTTAGGAAACACACTGACTTGAATTTAGGATATGTGGATTTTAAATCTAGCTCTGCCTCTAACTATGTCTTTTTTTATTAAGCCTGAGTTTCAGTTTCTTCA